TTCTCGGATCGGGAGTCGGGACAACCCGCCATCGACCTGATTTTTGGCTTCAGAGATCCTCTCGACCTTGTAATCGTAGAGCCTGATATGGATCATCCATCTAGCACTAGTAGGGTCGGTTAGCGAGAAGTCCTTTTGAAGGACGGCCGCTACCGCGGTCGGGTCCACTCTCAGAAGGAACCGCCTCCTGTAGATATAGTGGCGGAAGGTCTTTAGGCAGTGCAATACCCCCAACACTTCTTTCTTGAACTGCCTATAGTTTCTCTCGGCGGGATTCAAGGCCCGCCTCTCAAATCGAAGGGGTCTCTCTTTCCTGTTTTGATCCCTTTGCGACAGAAGCCCTCCTACGGAACAAGGCCCCACGTCCGTGGAAACTATAAAGAGGCGGTCCTCCTCGTCCTCGAAGAAAGGAACCCCTAAGACTTGCCCACCTTTGCGGAATTCCTCTTTAAACCACCGGCCCCCCCGCCACGTGACACCTGTGGTCCCGACGAGTTAGAGGCGTGCTTTTCGGCAGGTAGCCGCCCGTAACTCACCAATTTACCACACTCCCAAGCAAGTAGACCAAGGCCCCACGCTGCAGACGGCTGACGACGCCGGATTCCATTGTCGTCCGCCGCGATGTGAATCCGGTCCAGTGTTCAGGGCGAGGCCTAGCCTCTATCGGACATCGTAGCGTTGGCGGGAAATAAGGGTCGAAGGCGGAAAATTTTTTTTTTTTAAAAAAATGGCGGCCGCGCGATTTCCCCCCCACCCCCCGTCATTACCGTTGTGCCTGAGCGGTAGATATATGTGAATGTTAAAACACGTTGCGAACACCGTGTTTTTCGGTCCATTGTGTAGGGTTTCTGTTCGGTTTGCCTGAAACGACCTCCGTTCGGGATCGTGCACGACAGTCCGCCATCACCACGAACCCTGAACGAAACCTCAACACGCTTCCTCTCTTCTTTCCCTCCACCGTCATACCCAGTTCTCGAGCGCCCGCCTTGTGCAGCGAACCCGGCGGTGCCGTGGCCATCGTTGGAATGCGGCGGGCAGATACCATTGTTGCGGGATGCGTTACCGCCTTGGTGCACGGTGGTGCGTGTTCGTTGAGGGTTCGTTTTTGGTGCTGGGTGTCACTGCCGTGTGCTGACATAGCCGCCTCTTCTAAGTTTCCCCATCCCCTGCACCTCTTGCGTGCACCTCGTCTGCCAAGCGTCGTCGAAATATATACCTCCTGCTTGCGCGCGTGAGTGTTGTTGTGTGTCTGTTGTTGTGCTACCTCGTCCTTCGGCTGATTCTGCTGTGCACATGCACTCGCGCGTTTAAAGTTGTGTCGACCTTTTGTGTTCCTCCACGTGGGCACAGGTTTGTGGAAGTGAGAGTGTGGTCGTGTGCGTGTGCGTGCGTGATCGTGTGCGTGCGTGATCTTGTGCGCTCGTTTTCGTGTGCTGCGGACCGAGTTTAGTGTTGAATCGGTTTTATTTTTTGTTTGATTTTGTTTGCATATATTTTTCGTTCTCTTTTTCTTTACTTCGTACAATACACGTGTCACTTCCTTTACGTCGCTTCTTCGTCCTTTACGCGGGCAAGTTTTTGTTTTTTTTTTCATCATCTTCTTCTTTTTTTTCTTCCCCTCTTCTACTTCTTCTTCTTCTTCTTCTCGGTCGTCGGCCCTCTGTTCTCATATTGGTCGTGATGGGGGGCTTGCGCGTTCGCGACTCTGAAGTGTGCATGCCGAGGAGTATTGAAAGACGTAGTCGACCTTTGTGCCAGAAGCAGTCGACGACTGCAGTTTTCACTTTTTGCCACAGCCATCGGCTCGTTTGGAGCAGTCCTGAGGACGCTGGCCGAACAGCCGGTTGTAATTTTAAAAGAAAAAGGGGGTGGTCACCTGAGTTGGGAGATGGGAGGGTGAAATAGAGCGGAGACAGACATGCAGGGATAGACTTCTAGAATGGGGGAGTAAGGGCTCGGTAACAGTGAAGGCTGGGAGCGAACAGGAGGGGGAAGGAAATAGGGCCCGGGTCGTACCCGGGTGTACAGTAAGGGTCTAGGAGAGAATATCGGGTGGGATGGTAGCCCGGGTGTACATTAAGGCTCTGGGAGAGAGCATCTGGTGGGATAATAGACGTAGGGAGGGTGATCCAGATCCATGAAAGAATGTTTTGGCTGTACTATGGGGCTGGTTCTGTCACAGCGGGTGAAGACGGGAGTAGTACTAGCAAATAGTTACAACCAGGGACAACGACGGAGTGGGCGGGAAGGTGAGCCGTAGAGAAGAGAAGCGAGGCAGGAGAGGCCATACATCACCAGGAGGGATTGAGGATGATGTGGAAACGTTAGGAAGAGACCAGGGTCCCCGGGGCCTGTAGAGTCGGAACCGGGAGGCTGGAGGGGTTGTCAAGTCGGGTCGGTACCTAGCACGGGGAACTGACCTTGTACATCTCGTCTCAGAGACCGCGGCCGTCGACCGGTGCACGTGTGAAGATCGATTACCTGGCGCGGAAGAAGGCGCGCACGTGAGGTCGACGGGTGACTGTCTGCGGACGTGTGTGCCAGGTCAGTTACGGGCGAGCCTACGCGACACCCGCACAGTCAGTTGCAGCTCCTAGACGTAGGAGCAGGTCGGCGTCAGTATAACCCAAGAGGGCAAGGCCAGAACGGCCCTCTTAGCTTTGGGCGGAATGTTTGGTGGATGCGGCAGTGCGGTAGCCACTTGATGAGTCCTGGTGAGAAACCAGGCGAAATGCGTCGGGGAATGTGCGCGTTTGAGCTCGAAGTCTATGTCGGTGCTCCAATGATGTTCACGAGTGCATGGACGCATAGCGATTGGCCTCGCTTATTCAGTTCTTGAATGCGCGACAACCATGCGAGCGGTCGTACTCGCTTTGGTGGTTACGCCTACAACGGAATTGTTTGAGGTAGAGTGTCGGGAGTGAAGCGAGCTGTCCGGACGCCAGTGATGGCTGTAAGCGGAACAACAAGCGCAGAAACTACGAGCGGGGGAGAGAGGTAGGCGGTAGAGACTGATGAGCTAAGGGGAGGAGGTAAGTGTAGAGAGAAGATGTCGGATGACGACTTGATATTAGAAGAATGTGAAGGATGGTTTTCGAGCGCAACGGGTTGGTTAATTGTTTGTGTGTAAAGGGCGCAACGATAGAGGGGTAACGTGTGTGAGGCGAGAGTTACAAGTGGTTGAGGGAACTGGTGGAGCGCAACGGGTTGATTGGTTGTTTGTGTGTAAAGGGCGCAACGATAGAGGGGTGTCGTGCGTGAGGCGAGAGTTACAAGTGGTTGAGGGAACTGGTGGAGCGCAACGGGTTGATTGGTTGTTTGTGTGTAAAGGGCGCAACGATAGAGGGGTGTTGTGTGTGAGGCGAGAGTTACAAGTGGTTGCGGGAACTGGAGGTCGAGAGCTGAGTGCGAAGGTCAGGCTACATGCGGAGTTAACACGGGGAGAAGCGTAGAAGTTTTCAGAGATGTAAAAGAGGATCAGTAGCTACGATGGGGGTAACGTGCATGAGGCGAGAGTTACAAGTGGTTGAGGGAACTGGTGGTCGGGAGCTGAGTGCGAAGGTCAGGCTACGTGCCGAAGTTAACACGGGGAGAAGGGTAGAAGTTTTCAGAGAGGTAAAAGAGGATCAGTAGCTACGAGTGAGGAAGGAGTTGGAGGGAGAGCGGAGGAGGCGAGAAGTAAGCGGACCGGAGGTGTGGAGCCAGTCAGTGAGGGTGGCGGGCGGTGTGCGAAGGAAGCACGGGTTGAAGCGGAGGTGAAAGTGGCGGGAAACAGGTGAAGGAACGACGTACCGATGATCGGAGCGACAACGGAGTGTTTTATGAGGTTCCAGTGCTCGTCGCAGAAGTATTGGATTACGTGAGTAACTGTTGTCGCTCTGTTTCGGGAAAGCACTATGATGAGAGAAGGCGAGAAGTGAGCGTTTTGGAGGCGTGGAGATTGGGAAAAGAGTGGTGGGCATTGTGCGGAGGTATTACGTGGCAGAACAACGTAGTAGCGGAGCAACGTGTGAGGTATTGGAGTGGGAGTGAGAGCAGAGGAGACGGGAAGAGAGTGTGGCGGAGGAGTAAAGGTAGGGGGTCGAGCGTAGCGGGCAACGGGTGAAGGACGAATGGCCATGCCGCTGTTTTCTGGGTAGGATCCACGGTTGAGGTGAACAGACCTCCTTGGCTAGTTGGTTAAAGTGCTATGAGCAAGAGTTACGAGGTAAGTCGAGCGGCGAGGAGGTTGAGTTGCCGGAGTCCGTAAACTGATTCAAGCGGGCTGTGTTGTAATAAGCTGGTTGGGATTAAACAGAAACGGGGCACTTGCAGCAGATGAAAGTGATTGTGAGGGGAGTAGGGACCAATGCGAGATGAGACCGTCTTACTAACGGGTGGAAGAGCGCGCAGAGTTAGGTGGTTGAGTGCGTGACGTAAGGTGAGACGAGAGTAGTTGGGTGACGGGTGCTTCAAAACTTTGCGATCGGAACTATGAGCTACTGCGAAGCATGCTGTGCAAGTGTCGCTAGGCGGGAGAGTGGAGATGCATGACGGGTTACAAAGAGCTGCTGGGAACCTGTTATACTAGTGAAGTGTGAGTGGTGGGGAGCGTTCAACCTTGATGAGAAGTGCCGGGTAGCGGCCAAAAGTTGAGCTAGGTTAGTGTGGGAAAGGGGACAGTTTGATGGATATTAACCTGATGTTTGGCCCAAACGTGGGAGTGTTGAACAAGGCGAGACGAGGTGAACACGAGACTGACAAGCTGGTGTTGTCTGCTTTAGTATAGCATGCATGAGTGTAGAGAGAGGAGTTTATAAGAAGGAGAACAGAGGAAGACGGTCACGAGACTGGCAGGCGGTTGCTGTCAGCTTTAGTAGAGTGCAGGCAGATGAGGTGGTAGAAAGGAGAACAAAGAACGACGGCCAGTAACAAGTGCGGGTCGACTGAGTAAGGTGGCTGTAGGTGGGAGGTTGTTGGTGATAACGGTAACGGCAGGTGATCGCACCCGACAGGTGCCTTGGTAGCAAGAAGTACGACTGCAGAAACGCGTTGGTGGGGAAGTATGTATCCTCCACAAGGGACAGCGGGGACGTACCCTGCTAACAATGTGGGTTCTGTCCATACGCCAGCCCCTGCTGCTCCTCCTCCTCCTCCTCCTCCGTCCCCTCTTCCCCCTCCCCCTCCGGCTGCGGTAATAGGACCATGTTATAGCTGTGGGGAATACGGGCACTTTGCGCGAGATTGCCCGTATAAGCAGAACCGGAGGAACTGGCAAGGCCAGGGAAGGGGGAGCTATGGGCAAGGCAACTACGGACAGAGTGCTTACGGGCAACCTAGGAGAAGTGAAGAGGATGACTGGATGAGCAGGCTACTAGCCTTTCTAGAGAACCAGCAACTGGAAGCCGCGGAGAAGAAGAAGGCTAAACAGGAGAAGAAGAGGCAGGAAGAGGAGAAGCAGAGGTTAGAAGAAGCAAAGCTGAGAGCGGAAGCAGAGAAACGACGAGCGCAAGCAATCATGGAAGCTACGGCAGCGCAGGCTTTTGCCAAGCAGATGGTGGCTTTGGAAGAAAAGATCAAAGGTCATGTGCAGTCAACACTCACAGCGTCTGAAGAGAAGAGTGCGAAATTGCATGACAATCTACAAAGATTCTTAGAACGAGTAGACAGTGAGGAGCCGAAGAGACCCAGAATTGATGCCTATCCAAGTACGAGGAGGAGACTTGAACTGGATGACTACGAACGGGAAGCAGACACTGAGGGGACGGATGCCGCCACACCAGTCACCAAGAAGAGGACAGTGATGGCAAGGAAGGCCAAGGAACCGATGGTGGTGGAAGAGAAGAAGAAAGGTGCGGTAGCATCGAGCTCCAGGGCGGGAGTAATTGAATTTGTTCTTGAACTGCATGAGAGTATGCAGACAAAGCAGGCACCGGAACTCAAGCAAATGTGCAAAAGGAGTACCATCAGGTGGGTATCGAAGGCGCAGGCGATCAAGGACCTGGTGGTGGCAGAAACGAGACTTGCATACGACGGGTGGCTTACGGGGGCAGAAAGTGATGAAAGCAAGAAAGAAGACGGGAGGTCGGGAGTGGATACGGCACCACACGCTAATTGACGGCGTGCCCCCCCAGTGCGGTATTTGTGGAGCGAGCCCCTAAATTATATGGAGCTCCGATATTACGTCTGGGGGACGTACGGGTTAACGAACTTTAGGATCAACATTGAGCAAGTACTTATTGCGGTCTTCCTCATGCTGGTGATGAGTGGGGTGGCCCCGTGGGCTAAGAAGTTGCTCACGGTAACCCCGACGGGGCATGACTTCTTTGATCTTCGCGGGCCGGCAGTGTACTGTCTAGTGTCTCCGTGGTGCAAGAGGTTGTACATTGGACAGACAGTTCGCGGTGCAAGTGAAAGATGGTGGGAGCATATCGGGTGTACGGAATCAGGCAACAACGGGCACGCCCCCAAGCTGTACATATTTTTGAAGGCGTTCGGATGGCAGAAGTACCTAGTCCTACCGCTAGCAGCGGGTATTAGAAACGGTCTGCAGGGACTAGAGAAGACGCTGATACACAGGTTTTCCCCGTCACTCAATGTGGTTGGTCGTAATGGAGGGATGAAGCAAAAAGCGAGACCCGGTAAGAGAGAGAGGCAGAAGGGGAGAGTTCCTATACCAAACAGTAGAAGTGGGCTGCTGTCCTTCTCACTAACAGGGCAAGGGAAGTGGCACTACAGCCTAGCTGAGCTCCTAGAGGATGCATATGTGGCAGGGAAGAGAACGGTGGAGTTTGAGACATCCGGGGGCAAGGTGTGGGGAGAGAAGTGGTCCATTGTCCGAAGGAAATTCGGGACGTCAACGGTCGCAGGCGAAGGAGCAAAACTCCCCCTAGGGAGGTCTAAGCTGCTACTAGAGGAAGGAGGGATGTTTAGGGTGGCACCAATCGTGTTGACTGAGAACGCACGGTGCAGGGGCAAGGGTTACCTTAGGCTGCTGCTGGAGCTTCCAAGGAAACGAGCTGAGCTCAAATACTTTGATGTCTCGAAACTGGTCTTCCTGTACCGTTGTACTAGGGAGTTCAAGACAAAGACCTCAAGAAGAACCCTGAAGGAAATGATAGCCGGAGGCTCGGGTTCATGGCGATGAGAAAGGCGGAGAACCCGTAGTGGAAGGCGGTGAGGTGACGGTCGGCATCCAGATGGATCCACAGCGGAA